GGAATCAACAGGGCGGAGCAAGCAGCTATGGCTGCTCCTCAGTCCTACCCTAAGAGGCCCGGCTTCTCAGTGTCCCAGTAATCACTGCAAGTACCTCTGAGAGCAAGCCGCCCTCGAGTTCCGACCGATGCCAGACAGTCCAGTTTCTCCCCATATGTCCCCAGAGACTCGCCCGGAACTGGAGTTCAGAGCAGTCGGGAGCTTGATACTCCCTCCTGATAGAAAAAGACAACAGTGTCCTCAGTTTCCAGCCCTTTCCATGCGCCTCCGTACCTCTGCACTTTACTTCCGCACCTCCTCTGAGTCTCAGTGTGCTTTTCTCTTTCCTTCTAGTTGTAGAATTTCCACTCAGCCAGCCTTCCTGTGGTTCTGGATGATGTCCGTTTTGTCTTTTAGTTGTATTTTTGAAGTGGTTGTGCGAGGCAGCAATTTCTGGTGTTTACCTAAGCCGCCATCTTGGTTTTCTCGGGTTTGTTAACTATAAATAAAAGTATACCATGTGCACATCAGAAAAGCAGATGGATTTTTGATATGAGGGAAAATATCCTATGAACCTTCCTTAGAAACATACTGGGATTAAAAAGTAAACCTGTTTAACAGCTTCTAGAAATTAGGGTTAACTAATTTGAATTTTGTGCTAAATACCTTATCTTTATAGATGAGCAAAATCTAGAAAACCTTGACAAAGAAGAGGGAAACGAATACTATTTAGTAAACGTATGTTGTGCCCTCTGTTGGTAGCATGTAGTAATGGGAATGAGTGTGTCTGGGTGACTTAATGCCTCCTTGTTGTCTCTGAATATGAATTAGATGATAACAGAGAAAGGTTGAATTGTGCCTTGTAACGATTGGCAATTATTTGTCAAGTTTTAAACATAACCGTTACTTAAATAGATTTCTCCTCTGACTTCTCATTATAAAATAAAATAAAATGGTCAGGCCAGCCGGTAAAAACCACCAATATTAAGTCTGAGCATAATTATTTCATTTCAGAGATTTCTGACATGCTAGGGAAACCTGTGCTATCAAGCCCTTAACTGTGATAAAACATTTTCCTTTTCAACATAGTTCACTTTGTTCCCAAAGCTGTGTAAAATATATGTAGCAGTTTAATGCCTGGAAAAGAAAAGAAAGAGATAAAACCCAGAAAGTATATTATCTAATAAGGTAAGAATATTTCCTCCTAGTGCTATTTACCTTAAATTGCAGATACCAAGGTTTCCTAGCCCCTAGAGCAGGGGTCCTCAAACTACAGCCCGCGGGCCACATGCAAATACAAATATTGTATTTGTTCTCGTTTTGTTTTTTTACTTCAAAATAAGATATGTGCAGTGTGCATAGGAATTTGTTCATAGTTTTTTTTTAAACTATAGTCTGGCCCTCCAACGGTCTGAGGGACAGTGAACTGGCCCCCTGTTTAAAAAGTTTGAGGACCCCTGCCCTAGAGGTATTGGCTCTCAAATGTGGCTGTCAGTTTTTTTAAGTACTTTTTTCTTTGGTCCCATCAGAATTTAAGATCTTTAAATGATTGCTTTAATGCTCTCAGTTATATAGAGTATGTCTTGCTAGATCAATCAAGTAAAGGCATAAGACCCTCATGTTAATAATAACACAAATTTTATTCATATTCAAATGACATGTTAAAGGGCAGCATGTCACCAACTGTTCAATTGCATTCAGTGATTTTCTGTATTATAGAAAACAAATAAAACTTTAGCAAAACAGCTCATGACTGTATAGTGATACTTATTTTTACATGCCTCATTTTGCATATTGGAAAAGTGGTTTTAACATGATAGGAAACTAGCAGAAAAAATATGCAAGATTTATATTTTTCAAAATAATCTTTGTACGTGAATGGAAATCTGTTGAAGAAAAAGACTTCTTAGTATCTTTAATGGAAAATAGAAACTGACTGAAATAAAGGTTTCAAACTGCAGGTTCCTATATGTGATTTATCATAATTGTTTTGGTTAATACGTTTTTTTTAAATTAAGTTAGCATGTGAATATTTTTGCTGGTCTCATTTTAATTTTCTAACCCTTTAATGTTGATTAATTCCTTTTGCCTAAGGTATCATATACAGTATTATGAAGCATTCCGATCTCTAGGTGGACAAGTGAAAAAGAAATAAGACTTCTGTTATCTTAGTGTTAGGTGCAATTATTTCTCTACAATATTGATTCTTTTTGAAGTTCAGAGAAGGTGTTGAGCTTCTTGAAGAATAATAATTTAATTCTTTTGTTCACTCTGTTAATAGCTAAACAAATTCAAAATATTAATTGTATTGTGTTTGTAAACCATACATAGAGTCAGCTGTCAATAATCTGAACATGTTATTCCTGTATTATATAGTAGAACTGTCTAATATAAATAATAACTCAAATTACACATGTAATTTTAAATTTTCTAGTAGCTACATTAAAAGAATAGAAACTGAGTTAATTTTAATGATATATTTTATGTAACCCAGTATATCCAAAATATTGTCAAGCATGTAACCAATTTAAGAGGGAATTTTACAATCTCTTTTTGGTATTGAGTCTTTGAAATGTGGTGTGTAATTTACATTCTTATCCCTTTTCAATTCAACTAGCCACATTTTAAGAGCTCTGTGTAACTAAATTAGAGCAATTCTAGAGGTGCATGGTCCCCTTCCTTCACCCCTGCAAGACCAGTAGTTTCTTCCCTGTTACCTTTAATTTTTTTGTCTTTATTTTTGTCTCCTTATCAGAAATACATGTTTGAGGACTGTAATATTTTCTTCCCACACTCCACTTGGGATATCACAGTACACTGCTAGTTCTAAGGGATCAAAAACTGTCCTTTTTTTTTTCTTCTCTAACTACTCAGTGTTTGGGATTGTTTTGAAACTTGACAGTATTTGTTCCTATGATTTATCCTCTTTTTTCACACATCTGGAGATACACTTTCTTTATCCAGTAGCTTAAGACCTTGCTTGTTTTATTTAACGTAATTATCTAAAAAGACAGTGAGCCAGTTGTGGAAATAAAGGGGTAGGAAATAGGTTGGTGATGTAACCAATCTTCCTCTAAATTCTTCAGTATTTTCTGACACATGGCAAGAAATTAGCTGAGTTGATACTGGTATTTTCTACTAACAAACTAATATAACTTTTCACTTTATGCTTAAAAAATTCTTTACCAGTTCCTCTTACCTTTGGCATCAACACATTTTTGTTTTCCCTTCTGTCTTTAAACAGGTATTATGTGCACTCATGCTTGTGTGTTTGGTGTGCACACACATACATACATACATAGAATTGCTGTATCATTCATTTTGATTAAACTAATCAAATCAGCTACTCACTTTGGTTGAAAATCAATATAGTTCTTGCTATACTGGGTAAAAACCAGAACATTTTTTAACCAAATTGAATAAAACCATTTGATTTTGTTAGCACTTAAACCCAGTATTCTATTAGCTCTTCAGTTAAATTATTTGTTATTTAGTATCATATGATACGTTACTCTTCATTTTTGCTGGTGAGAGTCTTAGTTGGTAAGAAAGCATTTCATTTTCTTCCTGTTTTCAATGTGACTACCTTTAGGTTACTTTCCGCACCAGGATCTATCACTGCAACATCAACAGTCAGGGAGTCATCTGCCTGGACATCCTTAAAGACAACTGGAGTCCCGCTTTGACTATTTCAAAGGTTTTGCTGTCGATTTGTTCTCTTTTGACAGACTGCAACCCTGGTAAGCACATCTTTATTACCACATACAATGAGGTTGTGGACACCAGTGCATTTTCCTGGTAGCTTAAATGTAGATTTGGAAAGTTAGTACTATTGGTGGAAAGATCAGTGTAAAACATTTTGCAAGGAAATTATCAATGCCATTTCAATTAGAATAGACCAAAAGTTTCACAATAGCTTCCTGTGGTTTGTTAATGGACTACTAGCCTATACTTATTTTCTCCTTCTCATTGATGGACTCTGTTTTCTGAGGTGTGTACCTGTACAGACCACTTTGACAGCAGTAAAGTGGTGTCTCTAACTCCAGTGCCTCCTTTTCTTCTTCTATGCCTCCATGTGCATTAAAGCAACCACTTAGTAATGAAGAACTTCTTGTTTTCTATTCCTTTTTGGATTTTAGTTCGTTGTATTAGATGTAGTAAGAGTGAAGAATATTAAAAAACTATAGCTGATGAGATTGTTGGACTAGATTGTGATTATATAAACTTAGAGGTTAAAGTCATTAGTACATAATTTATAACATTTAAAAGAAATGCATAACTGCCACATGTGATCTTTAACTGAGGTACTGAATTGAAAAAAATGTTTAAGCCAAGGATTTTGTATGTTATCTTACTGAGGGGTCAGTTTTTAAAAGAAGTTGACTTACTTTTTCTAAACATTTGACTAATCACCAAAGTCTATTACTGTTATCTTTTGCCCAACAGTTATACATATACGATAGATAGATAGATGATAGATAGATAGATAGATAGATAGATAGATAGATAGATAGATAGACAGATAATTATGACATCATTTATTACAGCAAAAGATTGGAAACCACCTGAATGTCCATTAATAGAGGATCTACCTATTAAAAAGAATGAGACAGCTCTTTATGACCTGATAGGGAAAGCTTTCTAAGATATATTAAGTAAAAAAGTAAGACATTGGGGAAAAAAAAACATATGCATAACAATATATTCTACATGCTTGTACACATGTATATCTCTGGGTAGAAATGCTGTAAACAGGTAACAATCACTTGCCAGGGGAAAAAACTGAGTAAAGGAGGTTTATATCTCAGATTCAATTTCCAGTTCAGAATTCTATGTAAAACAGAATGTTAAGTTTTCGATTGGAGATAAGGATATTTGAGTCATATTATTATGTAGAATGAAGGAAACATTTTATTCTGAATAGTATTGCATTATTAATCCTCACCCGGGGATATTTTTTCCATTGATTTTTAGAGAGAGCAGGGAGA